TGCTGCTGCAGCAAAGAGGGGCCCCACAGGGGCCCCCCAACAGATGTGCGTTACTGCAGCAGCAGCAGCAAAAGCAGCAGCAAGTGCAGCAGGAGCAGCAACAGCAGCAGCAGCAGAGGCAGCAGCAGCAGCAACACGAACCCCGCAGCTGTGTGTACACAACCGAGAGACGCAGCGGCTACCTCTCCGCCTGGGCCTTACCGGCAGACGTGCTGCTGCCGCTGCTGCTGCTGCTGCTAGTCCCTCTGCTGCAGCTGAAACAGCAGCAACAACACACGCTCCAGTTGCTGCTGCTGCTGCTGCTGCTGCTGCTCTTGACTCCCAGCAGCAGCACCACACATTTTCATCTCCTTTAGCTGCCAGAGACCTCAGCAGCAGCAGCAGCAGCAGCAGCAGCAGCATCGCTACCAGCGACACCGCCAGCAGCAGCCTCAACAGCAGCATCGAAAACAGCAACAGCAGCAGCAGCAGCAGCAGCAGCAGCAGCAGCAGCAGCAAGAGGCATCTGGTGGTGATAGACTGGAGCGATAAACTCGTTCCTTATGAGATAGGGTGGCAGGCGCAGCACGTGCTGCTGCAGCTGCAGCTGCTGCAGCTAGACGGAAAGCTTAAACCCAAACAGCAACAGCAGCAGCAGCAGCAGCAGCAGCAGCAGGAGCAGCAGCAGCAGGAGCATCTGCCTGGTGTTGCTCCTCGCCGTGTCTGCGGCTCTACTGTTTGTGATTTCGTTTTGCTGCTGCAGCACGCAGCTGTATATACACTCGGGCAAGCATCAAAGGATAGTTATATAGGAGATAAATTAAAATATAAACATCAGCAGCAGCTGCTGCAGCAGCTGCAGCAGCTGCAGCAGCAGCAGCAGCAGCAGCAGGAGCAGGAGAAGCAGGGGCAGCAGGAGCAGGTGCAGCAGCAGCAGGAGCGGGTGCAGCAGCAGCAGCAGCAACTGCTGCAGCAGCAGCTCCAGCTGCCACCGCAGCTGCAGCAACTGCTGCAGACACCACATGGTGTAGCAGCAGCAGCTGAAGTTGTTGATAGAAGTTTACAAGCTGCTGCAGCAGCACAAGAAACCAAAGCAACAGCAGCAGCAGCAGCAGCAGCACCAGCAGCAGCAGCAACAGCAGCAGCAGCAACAGCAGCAGCAGCAGCAGCAGCAGCAGCAGCAAACCCATCAAAAGAAAGAGAAAAAAGCGAAGCAGACCGTTCCAATCCAACCCACCACCAAACCCAAAACCAAAACGAACAAAAACAAAAACAAAAACAAAAACAAAAACAAAAACAAAAAGAAGAAGAGATAAAGATAGTAAGAATAGAAAGAGGAGGAGAGGTGACCTTTCATGGGCCCGGGCAGTTGGTGGTGTACCCCCTATTCGACCTGCGTAGACACCGCACAGATATTCGTCTTTTTGTTGCTGCTATAGAGAAAGCTGCTGCTAATATACTTATACAGTTGTTTAAACAGCAGCAGCAGCAGCAGCAGCAGCAGCAGCAGCAGCAGCAGCAGCAGCAGGAGGGAAGGCAACAGCATATTCATCCGCATCAGCAGCAACAGCAGCAACAGCAGCAACAACAAGAAGAAAAAGGAGAAACCGAAAAAGAAAAAGAAGAAAAAGAAAAAGAAAAAGAAAAAGAAGAAACAGAAAAAGAAACAGAAAAAGAAAAACAAAAAGAAAAAGAAAAAGAAGAAAAAGAAAAAGAAGAAAAAGAAAAAGAAGAAAAAGAAAAAGAAAAAGAAGAAAAAGAAGAAGTGTATGCATCTGTATCTCCTTTATCACCGATCGATTTCGAGCTGCATAGACACCCGAAAAATCCGGGTGTATGGGCAGGTCGATCCAAGGTGGTTTTTGTTGGCTTGCGGCTGCGACGGTGGGTTAGTTTTCATGGTTTTTCTGTTAATTTATTTAATAAAAATAAATATTTTAAACTTATTTTACCTTGTGGGCTCAATACGGATACCACCAATGCGCGACAGTGGATAGCGCGCATACTACACAAGCAGCAGCAGCAGCAGCAGCAGCAGCAGCAGCAGCAGCAGCAGCAGCAGCAGCAGCAGCAGCTGCAGCAGCAGCAGCGGGAGGAGAGGGAGGAGAAGGAAGAGCGGCAGGAGGAGATGCAGCTGCAGCAACAAGAACCAAACCAACAGCAGCAACAGCAGCAGCAGCAACAGCAGCAGCAGCAGCACCACCACCAGCAGCAACAGCAGCAGCAGCAGCAACAGCAGCAGCAGCAGCAGCAGCAGCAGCAGCAGGAGGAAGAGGAGGAGGAGGAGGATGCTGCTGCATCTCCTATGATGAAAAGTGCAGCAGCAGCAGCAATTGCTTCGCTGCGGGATGTCTTTGCCTTCGATACAGTTACCGTCACCAAACACCTAGGCCATGCTGTCCAGCTAGCTATGGATCACTACAGCTAGCTACAGCTAGCTACAGCTAGCTACAGCTAGCTACAGCTAGCTATGGATCAATACAGCTAGCTACAGCTAGCTACAGCTAGGTACAGCTAGCTACAGCTAGCTACAGCTAGCTACAGCTAGCTACAGCTAGGTATCAATAGATGCAGCTAGCTATCGATAGGTACAGCTAGCTATCGATAGATACAGCTAGCTATCGATAGATACAGCTAGCTACAGCTAGCTACAGCTAGCTGTTAATAGATGCAGCTAGCTACAGCTAGCTCTTGATAGATACAGCTAGCTGCAGCTAGATACAGCTACATTCAGCTAGCTGTTGATAGATACAGCTAGCTATGAATAGATACAGCTAGCTACAGCTAGCTACAGCTAGCTACAGCTAGCTGCAGCTAGCTAGAGCTAGCTGCAGACCGCTGGGGCTTGCCAGCAAGCCTAACTGCGGTCTAGGGTTTGGGGTTTAGGGTTTAGGGTTTAGGGTTTAGGGTTTAGGGTTTACGGTGGGATGATTTTGGCTGCATATGTAAACTCCAGTATCTTCTATTTCTGCATTGAAGAATTCACCAGCAGCAGCAGCAGCAGCAGCAGCAGCAGTAGCAGCAGCAGCAGCAGCAGCAGCAGTAGTAGCAGCAGTAGCAGCAGTAATAGCAGCAGCAGCAGCAGCAGTAGCAGCAGCAGCAGCAGCAGCAGCAGCAGCAGTAGCAGCAGTAGCAGCA